GGCTCCCACATGCCCAGGCTCCGCACACCAGGCTCTACACGCCCAGGCTCTGCACACCAGGCTCCCGCATGCCCGGGCTCTGCACACCCAGGCTCCCGCATGCCCGGGCTCTGCACACCCAGGCTCCGCACACCCAGGCTCTACACGCCCAGGCTCCGCACACCCAGGCTCCCACATGCCCAGGCTCCGCACACCCAGGCTCTGCACACCCAGGCTCTGCACACCAGGCTCCCACATGCCCAGGCTCCGCACACCAGGCTCTACACGCCCAGGCTCTGCACACCAGCCTCCCGCACACCCAGGCTCTGCACACCCAGGCTCCGCACACCCAGGCTCTGCACGCCCAGGCTCTGCACACCCAGGCTCTGCACACCCAGGCTCTGCACGCCCAGGCTCCCACATGCCCAGGCTCCGCACACCAGGCTCTACACGCCCAGGCTCTGCACACCAGGCTCCCGCATGCCCGGGCTCTGCACACCAGGCTCTGCACACCAGCCTCCCGCACACCCAGGCTCTGTGACACAGCCTCTGTGGTCCCTCGTTGACTGAAACGCATGACTGACTATTTCTGTTGACCGTGTGTCTGAGGTCCGTTTTGCACGTGCATGCGGTCTCACTCCGCGCGGGTTTTATGTGCCTGACTGCGCATGGGCCTGTCTCTGTCACTGGCAGTGTGGATGCACCCTGACCTGGTGTCCATCTGCCTTAGCTTGCCTGCGGCCAGGGTGCCAGGCCCCTCCTCATCTGGCCTGACTGTGTGCGTGTTCAGCCATCCCCGTCCAGGCTCCGCCCTCCTCTGCCCCCACTGCGGCTGTGACCTGGCCCACAACCTCGCCTTGCCCTGGGGCGGGGCTGGGTGGGGTGACCGCAGCAGGGTATTTTGGGAGGCACAATCACAGGGGCTGTCCGGTCATTATGCGGCCCGGCCCTGTGGCCAGGGCTGGACCCGCCTGGGGTGGGTGCAGGGCTGATCCATTCTCCTCCTGGGCCCCTTGCAGCCCCTTCCTGACCCTCCCTCCTGGTCCCAGACAAAGTAGAGATGGGGGAGGGGACCGGCCTGGAGTTTGGTCCCTGAAAGGAGGGACCCGAGTGCCTCGGGAGCGTGCTCCTGATCAGCGCTGCAATTATGTGCAGGCCCGATCAGCACGCGGCGGGGAGCCTCAGTCTTTTCTGAAGACTGGGATGTGGAGTGGGGCTTGGGGGCCTCCCTTCAAGGGGCAGCGAGGGCTTCCTGGGAAGTGACCACTGAGCTGACCGGGCATGCAGCTGTGGGGGCACAGCGGTGCCAGCAGAGGGCACTGTGAGGACGAAGGCTCAGCCCGGTGGCCGCACCTCCAGTCAGAGGAGCTCTGAGGCCCTGTGCTGGGTGTCTGGAGGTGACGGCCTGGAAGCGGTTAGAGCAGGTGCTGTGGGGGGTATAACTGGTAGCCAGATGGGGCTGGGTTTAGGGACAGTTGGCTGTGTTGTCTGGACGAGCATTGGCCATTGGGGAGGGATCGACATGTTGAGCACCCCTGAGCTGAGCACCCCTGGAGGTGAGCACCCCTGGAGGTGGGCCTCAGCGCCAGCGTGGGGCTTGGGGGTGTCAGGCTCTCTCAGCACTCATGTGCTGCTCTCACAGACGCCACAGGCCTGTGGCTGTTTATTTCCTGGGGTTCTGGAGGGTGAGGTGCAGGATCCCAGCTCAGGCAGCTTCTGTCTGGTGAGAGTGCTTTGCCCGTTCATGAGGCCCTACCCGGGGTCCCTTCTGTTTGGGGCACTAATCCCATTCATGAGAGCCTCGCTACGCCCTCAGTGTTAGATGCATCAACATATGAATTTTGGGGGCACAGATACTCTGTGTAGCAGGGACTCGACACGCTCTCTCCAGCACCCCGTCTCCTCCCTGCACTTGTCCTGACTCTCCTCCCCCACCCGCAACCCTCACTGCTTCCCTCCCTCCCCCTCCCCCAGATGCTCCTTCGCCATCACCCTTCACCACCCCTCTGTTGTCTCTGCAGACGCTGCCAGTCTGACACTCCGCTCAAGGCCTGTCTGTAAGGACCGGGGGGCCACCCCCCTCCAGGGAGGAGGCCGGAGGCTGCAGGTCCCTGCCAAGCATGGCGCCTGCCCGGGGCCCCGGCGTGGCGTCCGTGGTTGGCCCCGTGGGCTTCCTCGTGGTCCTGCTGGTCGGAGGCTGCGCCGCAGAAGGTGAGAGCTGGTGCGGGGTGGAGGGCGCCTTACGGTACGGGCGCGCGAGGCCTCCCCGGGCGCTTGGTGTTGCCAACCAGCGCCTCTGTGCTCCTTGAATGAGGCCGAAGAAGCACTTACGGTGCGTCAGGCCCTGAGGGATTCCAGGGAAATGACAGCGGTGGCATTCATAAAACAGTAACGGTAATGATGGTGATGTCTGGCTCCCGGCCTACCCTGCACCAAGCCCACTGCTCCCCACAGACTATCTGTTTCACCCTCCTGGAGCCCCACAAAATCCTACTCCATTTCCTTCTACATCTTTCAATGAGAGAAACAGGCTCGGAGGGGCGGAGACTTACTTGAAATTGCTAGGAATTAGCCAGAGTTCAGACAAGTAGGCAGACAAACCTTCCCTGGTGGAACCAAGGGAAGCTTCTCGGCCACAGGACATTGAAGCTAGGGCTTCGTGGGCGTGTAGGAGTTTGGCGATGGACAGGCATTCCTAGTGGAAAGTTCTGGAGGTAAAGAGAGATTGGGGTATCACTTAGGGAGGAAGAAGTCTGCACTTCTGACAGAAGTGTGTGTTGAGAATGAGGGTCGGGCCTGACTATAACACCAAGAACCCCCCCCTTGCTCCCCAAACACAGCAAGGTGCCCCTTGGGCCCGTAGGGACCCAGAGTAAAACCAGCAGGGAGAGAAACTGGGATGCTTGGGCAGGACTTGAACCCCGGCTCTGCTGGCAGCCTACTGGGGCTGGAGACACATCTCGGCTGAGGAGGACACTCACACCGTTTTCACACCCCAGTGCTCTTGGGCCCAGGACATGAGCAAGCCCTTTCACGCTGCTTAGCACATAATAGGTCTACAGTCTCGAGTTACCGCAAGCACAATAACCGTTGCTGCCAGGCAAGAGTGTCATTCACATAACACCCCCGAATCATCCGTTTTTTTCCTTCGTGTTTGTTTTTTTTTTTTAATAAACACATGCAGTGTGCAGATCAGCCACCACACCTGATGAGGTAGATGATTCCCCATTGCACAGAGGGGGAAACTGAGGCACAGTAGGCTCACTTTGTAGCCAGGAAGTGACTAGGCTGAGATTTGAACCAGAGTCCAGGTTGCTGACCACCGTGGCACACCGCCGGGGCCAGCAGCCAGGCCTGGCGGGGACACAGGCCCCCGGCCCGGTCTGCCTGGACCCGGTCCCCACAGTGGCGTTCTAGGCCGGCGGTACTAGGCATTTTCGCTTTCTCAGTCAGTCAGTCATGACTCGCTACGAGGCTATCTCTCCCCTTGGCGCTGCTGAAGGTGGGGAGCCAGCTCCTTCTCTGTGGGAGCCCTTCCGGGCGCCGCAGCTGTGGAACAGCCTCCGCGGCCCACCTGCCTGGAGCCAGGATGTGCCACAGGTGCCACAGGTGTCGCCAGACAAAAATGGCCCCGCCCAGATAGAACCACTGATTTACCTTGCCTGGCTGAGCAAATAATTCACTCACTGCTTTGACTTCCTGCTCCTGTGGAAACTGCCAGTCTGGGTGCGATGAAGCCAGGATGGTCCCCACTTACAGGTTTTGGAGAAACTACAGCTACAAAGTAGTCATTGGGGTGGGGTGTTGGGGGTTGCCGGTGGAGTGTGGAGCCTGCCCTGGCTTGGGTTCCAATTCTGCCTTTGCTGAGTCACCACAGGTGGGTCTGTGGTCTCTCTTGGCCAGGGCTTTTTTAATGAGAACCTACTGTGTGCCAGGCTCTGGCTTAGGGGCCTACAGCAAGACAGACATCTCACTGGCAGTGGAGCTGGGCTGATAATTTAATGAGAGAGAGAAAGTAAGTATGTTGGGTGTGAACAGGCGGGAGCTCAAGACAGATAGGCCGGGAGACGGGGCTGTGAGGGGAGGGTGGGGGGCTGCGTTATAGACAGATGGGAGGAGGCAGGTGAAGCTGCAACAAGGCGGGAGCACCTGACCGGAGACATCTGACCTGGCAGGGGGCGGGGAATGTCCCAAGCAGAGAGCATGGCTTATGCAAAGGCCCTGGGGTAGGACTGTGGCTGGTGTGTTGGCCTGTGTGACTGCAGCAGAGTGAGTGAGGGGCAGGAAGGAGGAGGTGAAGTGCGGAGGGGTGGGGCTAGTGGCCCTGGGAGCTCTTGGGCTTTTATCTATAGGGACTTGGGTGGAGGAGGCCTGGGACTCACAGGTACCCTCTGGTGGCTCTACAGGAAGGACAGACTGTGGCAGGGGTAGCGGGCCAGAGCAGAGGGGACCAGGAGAGCCACAGATGGCCCTGTGGTTCGCATTGCCAGGCTCAAGGAGTGACCCAGCTCCTCGGGGAGTCATCTGGGCAGGGGAGTGTCCGGCCTCAGCAAGCCCAGCACCAAAAGGAGCGATTTCTGCGCCAGAAATGTTCTCTTGTCCTTTGGGGCCTTCCCAGGATGCCGTGGGGCCATCCCAGGCGCAGTTGGAGGGAACGAGTGGGTGGGGCTCTGGCTCTGGCAACAGATTCTTGACTGCAGAATCTGAAATGGAAAAAGAGAGACTGGGCCAAGCCCTTCTGGCCTTCAGGTATCACCGCTCTAAACCTCTAGGTCTCCTCGTGTCAGATCCAGGGGGACTTGGGGTGCTGTCAGTCAGTGAAGACCCACAACCTTGTCTACAGAGCGGCTGGCCCTGGGCTGCTCACTGTCCCTTCCCAGCATGTGGCTGCTTGTGACTTGGGCGTGGGACTGTGCAGAGTCCCAAGCACAAAGCACTTGCTGTTCCAAAGCCCCGGCCGTACCCCAGTGTGTCTGTCTTGCATTTGAAGCCCCCGGGCGAGAAGAGGTGGGGAGGCATCTGAGGCGACCTGAGTATCCGCAAGGGATTTTCTGGTGGGGGAATGCAGCAGGCACAGTGGCTTTCTGGGGGGGGGGGGGGTGGGCTCTCAGAGCTGCCTGGACAGAGGCTGAGGAGGCATCTGCCTTGCAGACCGAAGCCCAGGGCCTCCGTCTTCATTGGGTCATCAGTGGGCATCAGGTCAAAACACCATTTTCCCCTAGAACATCAGACATCAAAGGAGGAATTAGGTGGGGCCCCAGGGAGCAGGGCCTGCCCCGAGCATGATCAGAGTGGGCAACGGGGATACGACAGTGCTGGGGACAGCGGGTCGCCTGGCCCTGCCTGTGGTGAGCTGAGGATACTCCCCTGGGCAGGATGCTGGCCCAGCCAAGGTTGGAGCTGCCAGATGAAGGAGCAGGGGAGGGAAACACAGGCTCCCCAGGTCTTAGTCCTGGACTGGTGGTTGCTCCGGGGGTGTGTCCCCCACTAGCTGGATGCCTCTTGTTATCCATGGCCAGCTCTGCCCTTCCTCCCAGTTCCTCCTGAGGGGAGAGTTTCCCAGAAGTGAGGTTGCTGACCTAGCCACAGGGACTTGGCCCCAGGACCTTGGCTGGGGGTGCAGATGGCCAGGGTCACCATTTTGGAGGCTCTGAAGAAGCCAGGCAGAGCCAGAGAGGAGGGCTTTGTCTAGAGCCCAACATGAAGCAAAACTTCTCAATCAGGCTCCAGGCCAGGAGTTGATAGTAGTGCAAAATCCAGACTTGGAGGTGGAGAGACTGGCTTAAATTCCAGCGTTGTCGCTTCTGAGCTGTTATTTCATGCAAGGTCATTAATCTTCCTGAATCTGTACAGTCCCACTGGTATAATGGGTCAGCAGTCACAGGATACACTAGGGCTGAGTGAGGCCACACATACCTACATACAATGGCTCTACTGATATTCAAGAGAGGTGGTCATATATTCAGGAGAGGTGGTCATTATCAATGAGAGTGGATCCTTGGATGAGGGAGGTGACAGTCAAAGTACTAGATGAGGACTCTGCCTCATTCAAAGCTCAGCCTGCCATAGGTGGGAGAAACAGGCCTGTTCCAACAAATTGGGACCTGAGGCCTTCAGCTTCTCAAGCTTCCAGAGCTCTCCAGGTCAACCTGCACGGTTCTGAGTTTCTCCACTAACTTTGGAGACCCAGAGACCCAGGGTTCCTCAAGCCTGAGTTGTTCATCTCAGAAACCGGACTTTTACTTCATATTTTCTTTAATCAGCTTGCCTTTTTGTTCACTTTAAAATACAATTTTAGCTAATCTTTAAATACATTGTTTAGGAATAAGGATCCATTCTAAGAAACGTGTGACTGGGTGAATTTGTCATCGTGCAAATGTCACAACGTATAATTATACAACCTAGGCAGCACAGCCCAAGACACACCTAGTCTCGGTGGTGGGGCCTGTGGGGACCTCTGGTGTGTATGTGGTACCTCACTGACCAAAACACTGTTATGTGATGCAGGAGTGTTTGTTTAAAAGGAGCCCCGCTTCCTTTTCTTGGCTGTGTAGTATTCCACTCGGTTTCTTCATTTAATCAATCTCTTATTGGGTAGGCAGTTTGTTTCCTGAGGGACCTTGTAAGTATGTTACAGTCTTTGAGTTGGTTTAAAAAACAAATCTCAGAAGTAACTGAATTCATTTTCTGGGATGCATTGTAGCATTACAGTGACTGGAAACCCAATATCCCTTTGGGGGATTCAAAGGTTACTATGTAAAGTCAATAAAAAGAAAACAAGGGTGATAAACTCACTGGATAGCGTAGCCTACCTCAGGTGCTCAGGTGTTAGGCCCAGTTCCTGTCGGAGATGTTCCTGGAGAGACGGAATACACCAGATTAAGGAGTGGGTCCCAAAACGTGGGCACGGCCACCCCAGTTCATACCACAGTGTAGCCACTGATGAGCTTGCCTGTGAAGGCGAGTGCCTTGCCTGTTCTGTGCCTCAGTTTCTCAAGTGTGAAACAGGGCTACGATGGCCCTGCCCCTCAGCACTGTTGGCACATGAGGCTCCTGCCTGTGCCGCCTGTAGACCCTTGGTGCTCAGTAAGTGGTGCCCTGGTGACAGCCACTGTGCAGGCTTTGGAAAAGCTGGTCGCCCTTGGCGCTTCTGGCTCCAGCTTGGCCCTCTTGTGCTGGACGCCTCACATGGGCATCAGTGCTGGAGCCCTGGGTTCAAACACTGGCTCTGGCCCTTAGTTCCCTGCTTTTCCTGCTAGGTGCCTCAGTTTCCCCGAATGCCCCAAGCAAATGAAGCCAGGCTATCTGTGGCCACATTTCCTCCAGGATCTGGCTGGCCACGGTGGTGGGCCTTCAAATACTGACATTGGAGGCCCAAGGCTGGAGGTCTCCCCTCCAGTGGCACTGGGTCTTTGTGGGTCTGCCCGTGTGAGGCTGTGTCCACGTGTGAGTGCGCGTGGCTGTGGTGCAGAGGTGGCCTGGGGAAGGCGTGGTGGGGGGAGGGGTACTTCTCCACCTTCCCCCTTCTCTGTCCAGCCCTTTGATGGGGCCCACATGGTGTCCCATGTCAGGGAAAGGGAGAGAGGGCATGTTTGCAGAGCCCCAAGCAGTCCTGGCCGTGAACCTGGGCTCACAAGAGCCCCTTCTTTTTTCTGCTCCATCCTCAGAGCCCCCCAGGTTCATCAAAGAGCCCAAGGACCAGATCGGAGTTTCAGGGGGCGTGGCATCCTTTGTGTGCCAGGCCGCAGGAGACCCCAAGCCGCGGGTGACCTGGAACAAGAAGGGCAAGAAGGTCAATTCGCAGCGCTTTGAGGTGAGTTGGCTGTCGGGGGTGGGGGGTGTGGGGAGGGGGTGCGGCCTGGAGTCACCCTCACCTCAGCTTCACGGTGGAGCCGTGGCGGCTCGGTCCTCGAAGTCAGATCTGACTCTTGCCCAGATGTAACCTGGGTGCCAGCCCTGGCCGAGCCTGCCTGGGCACCTCTCCAGCCCTGCCCTGCCACATGTCCCCACCTGCCTGGGCAGCTCTGTCTCCTCGTGGCGTCCAGGCAGGCCCTGCCCTGTCAGCTCTCACTCGCACGCGGTCACACGCGCCACGGCCCAGAGTCGCGTGGTCACACTCGCCCAGGTCCGCCTGCAGCGTGCCTTCCACGCCTGCCCCACACAGGGGGACTGCCACACCCCCAGCCAGCCCCTCCCCGGCACACCCTGGCTCGTTTCCTGCCTCCAGTGCCGCCTCACTCTGGGCACCCACACATGCGCAAAAGCAGCTCTTCTTCCGGTCACCCAGGCCCGGTCTCCCCTGTTCTTTGCCCCCCCGCAGACCATTGAGTTTGACGAGAGTGCGGGAGCCGTGCTGAGGATCCAGCCGCTGCGGACGCCTCGCGACGAGAACGTGTACGAGTGTGTGGCCCAGAACGCTGTCGGGGAGATCACGGTCCACGCCAAGCTCACTGTCCTCCGAGGTACTGGGCATCCTGGGCTGGGCACCGGGGGGCCGGGCCCTGGGTTTCGGGAACAGATGCCAAAGGAATCTCTGGAAACCTTGCTTTGGGGTTTTCTCCTTGGGCCCCCCCATTTCTCCTCTCCAGCCTGTACACTGCTGGGGCCCAGAGCCTGGGCTGGCAGGGATTTATCGAGCCTTTGCAGGAAAAAGTAGCATTAAGGGAATAGAGTTTCCTCATTTGTCATCTTGATCATCCTCTTACGACTTTACGCGAGACTGATCCAACTTGCACTGGTTCGCGTGAGGAGAGGGTGGGGTGTGCTCCGGCACGCGTTTTCAGTGATGGGGGTTCATTCCGAGAAGGGCATCGATGGCCAGGCGTGGGGTGGACATCGGCGTGCAAGGACGCGGCTGGGCGGTGACCGCGGCTCTGAGCCGGCCCGCGGGAGCCGCTGCTGTTGAGCAAGTTTGCCATCGCCCGGACGCAGGCAGGTGGCCGGGACCGCAGGGAGGCGTCCACGGAGCAGCTCGCCCCAGGGTCAGCCGGCTCCGGCTCGGGCGCTGTTCTCACTCAGCCTCTGGGTTTATTTTCTTCCACATCAACTATATGCTCGGTGAGGTCCCCTCCCCCATCAGCTCTGACTCCTGGCCCCCGCCCAAAAGAGAGGACCGCGTGACCCAGGACTACTGGCTCCCAAGCTGGGCGCCGTCACCGGGGCAAATACGCGTCCCCCCGGACTCAGGGGTGGGCCGGCCCACGTAGCTGGGGCTAGTCAGGGGCTCTTCCACAGAAGGAGCAAAGAGGGACAGAAGTTGGGCCGGCAGGAACATCTGCCCTCCACGTCGCCGTGCATCCCATGAGCCTGTGGGAGCTCCGCTGGGCTCCCGCTGGCCTCACTCGGGGGGGCTGGCTGCCCCGGGAAGTGGCTGGACGTGATCGTGTGGCTCCTAGCTGCCTTCTGCATCACAGGCCGGTGAGCACAGCGACCAGCAACTTGAGTTCAAGTGTTAGCAGTAGCGCGGTAGCTGTGTGGCTCTGGGCGGGTGAAGAAACCTCTCTCTGAGCTGTGGTTTCCTCATGTCCCAAATAGGACGAGGACACTGCTCACCACAAGGGGTCCGTGTGTGAACCAAGGGGGTGAGCGAGTGCCCTGCAGGGGGGTGCCGTGGCCAGTCAGACGTTGTTATGATTGTCGCCGTTGAGGTCTCTGGTTTGAACGAGGTGGC